GTGCTGATAATTCAGAGTCGAGGTTTGGGGTTAGGGAGTTTAACCTCTTCTGTAAGAGGAGCATGTGGACTGCATCTAGTTTCACAGTAGTGTCTAGTGTCGGGATAAGCTGAGAGGATTCACTGCTCTTCTCAGCACCTGCTGAACTCTGCTCTTCAAGTGTCAGCAATGCCACAACAGTTTTGGCTAATCTAAGTAAGTCATAATCTTTCTGATGGGGTGAAATGACGTGCCTGATCATCTGATATTGTCTAGTCTGAGCCAGATACAGCACGTTGGAATTTTTGTGAATCTTCCACAGTGATCTGTGAGCACACAGTCGTCACCAGTTGTCTTTTTTATTACCAAGTTCTCAGTCAAATACAATAATCAGCTAATCTGACACTGTGACCATTGTATCAGATACAAATAATGTGTAGTCCCAGCTTGGTACCAGATGTACTAACACTGAATATAGCTGCGTTATCGTTGTCTAGTAACAATAGTTTTCAAATCCCAAAAAGTTGATTCTGTTCATCTGGACGTAGCGTTTTCAGTGGGAGAAACGTTTCGTTACTCATCCAAGTGACTTCTTCAGTCTCAGCTGACTGCAGGTTTTCCCAATCTTATAAACAGTACATTTACATAATGACTGAAACCAGCCCACTGAAGGAACAATGGGCTGGGAGAGCAGTTCCTTGCTCATTAATATGCAGATGCTCATGACCATTGATCAACAACCACTGATCAAAGCTCATTGATCAAAGGCCACTGATCAATGGCCATGAGTACTATTCAAAGAGAGTTGAGGTATGGCTGCAATCACAGCATTGCAAGATGGCGAAAGATGTACCCTTAGGCCCCCTCCTCGATTCAGAGATGGTCTTTCCCTTTTCACCTAAATGGCCTCCTTGACTCCGCACTCAAATCAGCGTTCCTCCCTGTCCAGGATGTGTACATCCTCGTCATTAAAAGAGCGTCCACTAGTCTGTAGGTGTAAATAGACTGCAGAGTCCTGGCCTGACAAGGTGGCTCTTCTGTGTTGTGCCATCCGCTTAGCCAGAGGTTTTTTGGTTTCCCCGATGTATAAATCCTGGCAATCCTCCTGGCACTTAACAGCGTACACTATGTTACTCTGTTTGTGTCGGGGGACCCGATCCTTGGGGTGGACTTAATTTTTGTTTTTTAGTTTGAAAAAGACAAGACATGAGTTAAACTCAAGCTCTTTTTATTGGCCACAAAGAAGTGATGTCTGTGGTTGCAAAAAGGGGCAATGGCAAAGCAGTCCTGGGCCATGACATCACTCATTTCCAGTCATATTGAAGTTTCAAAAAGGAGGATTTCCCAGTTGCCTGTCAGTCACAAGTTGTTAACCACCACCATTAACCAACATAGTCCCCCTCATTCTTGTCACATCTGGTTTCACAACGCCAAGATGGTGGCAGAAAAAGCAGATTTTGAGGTTTTGTGGGGAACATCATGGTAACTGCATCCATCTTTTGCTGTCTACTGTCATTCCCCATAGACACTCTTTTTAAAATACCCAACTTTAGAGCTTTAAAAAGCTCACAGGTTGAGCTCATCCACTTGGATACTAGAGTTTATCTATCTGATGAATAGGTGTCATGACAAAGGTATGACAAAGGTCAGGCATCTAAATATGGTCACCTCTGGCTCCAAAAAATAATAGAGAACGTGGTCCAAAACCAGTGAGTAATATCACTGTGGCTGCATGGATCTTTTTGTATAGCAGTTTATGACTGCATGAGCATTTAGCATGTAAAGCGTCTAGCTCCTAAAAATCTTGGTTGTGATGCTCTCATCTGAGTACTTAAAAAACAACTCCTCCCTCATGTTATTTTTTCTCATGTTATCACGAGAGATCGGATTACTGTCAGCAAGACCAAGAAGTAGGTTTCTGGGTCATTAAAAGCTGCCCAAAGCTGAACCTGGGAAAGCCTTTCTTCACCAGTGAACTAAATTATGTAAATGTGTTCTCACCTCTAGAAACTGCCACTCAAGTGTAAACCACAATGCAGTGTTTCCCCATGCTCGCTGCTGTAATATTTACTCGTCTCCAGGTAACGTTTTGAGCTACTGCGAGCTTAATTTGCACATGACACATCGAAGCAGTAGAAAAAAATGAGAGTTGGGTGCACCACTGATACCCACAGCTTGTCACAACTGATCGGCCTGAAAGCGGCGCTTGTGGTGGTATAAACACTCTGACTTCCTGTTTCTGTGTGGGAACTGTTTATGTGTATGCATCTACCATTTAGCGCACAGAGGCATCTTCCTCCTAGTAACCCACTGAGCATATGAGCTGTAGGCGTAATCAGCAGACTTCTAAAAGTGAGGGCAACAAATCATATCAGACTTTGTTCTGCACAGCATGGTACTGTGTGTTCTATTTCGTGTGTGCACTGTTCTTAACAGCAGAACAAATTTTTTTAATATATATTTTGGGAAGTAGCTTTTTCATTTCTGGAATAGTTTGATGAGAGATGCCTTTCCATAAAAAGCTTTCCTCTGAACTTCCAGATTCTGTTCCAGAGGTAAGAAAACCTCATTCACAATACATTTGACACTTGTTACTGTGATAATTCGTTCTGTTAGGATGGCAAGCGAGTTAAACACATCTGAGAAATGTACAGTGTAAAAGTGTTTTAATGGCCAGCTTGCCTATAGAATGCTACTGATGCTGGTGGTATGGGGACTTGGAGTAATTGGAGAGCGTGGCACGAGCAGAGGTTTTACGACCGTGTGGCGTGAGTGTGCAGTTTTGTTGCCTTTGAGATGATTGCTTAAGAGATGGAAACCAGGTCTGCAAACATTCATAGTCAGCTGCTGTCTTCAAAGCCACTTTGGTGTGGCAAAGTGGCTCTGCTGTCAGTTTGTGATTGCATGGCTCAAGGTGGCAATCTTACATTTGTGAGAATATGGTGATTGACTGTGACAACTCTGCGAAAATCACAAAGATTTTGCTGTCTGTAGCAGATCTGTTGTTCATATTAACTACTTGCATTTAGATTCCAGTTGAAACCTCATACATCTGAAACAGAAATTGAGAAATTTCTGCTCAAATAGGTAATTTCTGCAGGACGGCAGTTTAACTGCAGCATGGCTTAGGCGCTCACCTATGCCATGCTGCATAGGACACCTGTTATTAGTGGTTTTGGTGCTACAAATTCAGACTTTATTTAATAAACTAAGAATCACTAAGTAAGTAATTCTAACCACAAGTTGAGGGCTTGCAGTCAGGTCAGACACATCTGTAATAACGAAAAACTTCGATAGCAATTTAGTGGCCAGTTGATCTCAGATTAAAGAAAACCAACCCCTGGAACAAGCTTTATTTTCTGGACAGAGGCCAGTGGTCCTGATGCCTCTGGTGTTTTAGTCTTATGCAAAGATGAATCTCTTCTAACTTTGGTCCTAAAACAAGTCTAGTCTATTAAAGGAAGATTTTGTGAGTTGTTTAATTATCATCTACAAGCCACGTCCTTGGATTCGGGCTCGATTTGATTTTAAATGGTGTACTCTGATGCTCCACAAGCGCTCATATAACTGTTGCCTTTAGTTCAAACTAAATAGGGCATTGTGCCTTAAATATTTATTTGAAAGGCCTCTGCGTGAACCTAACGCTCAGTCTTTTGGGACTGTATTAGCCTCACTAAGAGTACTGAGAAACAACAAACCTACCCCCACTCTTCATCAAAACACTTTACTTCCTATACTTAATTCATGCACTCTCTAAGCAAATAGGCACTCTGGGAATATTCTGCTTCATATGTGGAGGGTTGCCTGGAATTGAAGTTATAATATTCTTATTTGGAAAGATATGCATGCTGTTTGTTTTTTGTTTTTTTTACCTTGTAATTGGAAGAGAGGGGGACTTACACAAGAAAGGTCGTGAGTTAAATTTAAAGTAACAGGAAGTCCATCCTCTCCATTTTTCTCATGCCTTCTTTTCTCACACACACTCTCTTTCTCTTCTCCTTTCTTTGATTTCCTGTGTATTTAGAAAGTTGTGTGTAAATGCTGACTTCAGAAAATGACTCAAAGCGCTTTACGCAGGCACCCAGATCAGTCAGCAGAAAGATTTCCCATCCAGACATGTGAAGGTGTAGACATTTGCCTTTATTTATTTAATCTGCGGAAGTTTAAGGTTGTCTATTGTGACCATAATCAGACCACACGGACTGATTACGGTCACAATATGGCCGTGATATTCGAAAGAATATCAAAAGAGCATCTTAATTGACTTCAGACATTCCGCAGTTTAAAAAGAAGAAGAAAATATAACCATATGACACCTGTTCTGAGGTCATTACTTTGGCTTTGCGTTAAATTTAGAATTGATTTTATTTTAGTGGATGTTAGTAAGGCCCTGCAACATCTGGGACCGTAATATCGCTCAGACATGCTTGTAAACTGTGAACCAGCTCGACCCCTCGTGTAATCTGGAACAGACTGCCTGGATATTCTTTTGGTCGACACCAGCACTGGTGAAGATTCAGGAAAAACTTACCAAATCATTTCCATCTATCTCCATCTGTCATCGGTTCTGGTCTCATTTATAATTATCAGTTTATTTCATTTCTGCTTCTTCTGTTGTTTTAATTACCATCTTTTATGGGGTTAATTTATAAGTCTTATTTACAAAGTTTTGTGGCTGCAGCCGCCTATAATTTTGATCCCTGTACACAAAGATTTGGTCTTAATGTCATTTCATTAATCTTCATTTAAAGTGGCATTAAAGGACTTACACATGTGGAGCCCCTATAAAGGACAGCCTCATGATTGAGGGCTTGTTAAAATCTTATACTCGTAGTTTATTCTATAAGTGAAGATGAAAGGATGCCCAACTTTGTAAAGTCTTTAAGGTCATTTTACTTCTCAGCCTGAGGTGAAAATAGTAAAGTAAACTGCAGAAAAAAAAAAGTGTGTATCTAAATGATCTGATACCAGGACTGTCTGTGAGTAAACACACTAATCTTTGTGTCTTTGTCACTTTTCAGTGTAGAACAAGTGGAGCTACAAGAGACGGACCCATGAAGCATGACAGGGTGGAGCTGAGGCTCAGCTGACCCTTCCCCTTCCTTCTTCTCCTTATTCTCCCCAGTGCTCCATTCGATCAGCACCAACCCCCTCCCTTCCCCTCGTTGCCCCTTCCTTCCTCCCGTGACCCCGTTGCATCTCACCCATCGTTCCTTGCCTCCAATTCCTCCAGACCTCAATCAACCGTGCCCAATGTACTCCCCGGAGCAGGAAAACATCTCCACCACCGCCTCCACCAAAGTGCCAGTGAAGTATGGAGAGCTCATTGTGCTAGGGTAAGCAGATGACAGATACTCAGCCTCACATCCAGAACACACATTTTTGAATTTGTATTATTTTTATGCAGTTATTTTTGTCTGTTAACCTTCTTACTGTATTAGTAAGTGTTTGAGTCTGGGCAGCCGACTCCTCCCACAGGAGTTGAGCAACCAAACTTGACACACAGGTACATCTTAGGCCCAGAAAGGTTCTTATCTATATCAGATATGATGACATTGTCACATTGCCTAGCAACCACCTAACAGCAGCCTAATGTGACCTCTTTTTTTTTTTTTTTTAGCATTTATGCAGCTATACCTTGTAAAGGCATTGTATCGTTTCTATTTCACTACAGCAACATAATAATTTATACCCACAAAAGCTCATGATTTATTAGGACACCATCAGTTTGCCTGGCAACCACATAGTAATGGGATCAAATGACCTAATTTTTGCAATTATGCACCTGCAGGACATTATGAGAGCATGCTGTAGCTTTAATTCCATGACAGCAACGTCTCAGTTATACCCAAAAAAGCTGAAGTACACATGATGTATCATAACACCATCATGCTGCCTAGCAAGCACAAAGCGGTGGGTTAAAATGACCCATATTTTTTGCATTTATGCGTTTACAACACCTCATAAAAGCTTTATATCGTTTTATTTCATAGCCAATAGCACATACAGGCCAAATAATACTGCAGCATGGTGAAAAAACAGAAATGTTTTCATGGTGCTAGAATAATAATTGTAATAAAAAGTAAGCTCAAATTCAAATCTGCCGAATTATTTGTTAAATTCCACCTCAATACTCAAAATATCATGTTTATTTTTTAAGTCTTCCTCAATTTCAAAGGAAATTTTTTTTGCACTTTTTTCTCATGTCTGTCACTTTTTTAGAGGTTGTCAAATTCATGAAAATTATTTATAATATTTCTATTTAATTTGTTGATGTGTTTAAAGAATCTGATTCATGGTTGGTTAATAATTAAATGTGTTGGTTGCTGCCTGTAAGTTCTAGTACTGTTAATCTGGCTTCATAAACCAAGACTCACCCTCAAAACACAGACAGATAATACCTTAATACCCTTCATGCTCATGCATGATGAATATTAGGGGTGCAACGATACACAAAATTCACGGT